TGATAGTGGAATGCGGGACACATGAATGAATCGGATCATATATTGAAAAGGGGGGAACTTATCATTAGAGGTAAGAGTGGCCATATTACGGTTTCGGGAACCGGAAGAACAGACAGCTATGATTACGTGGAAATGCGGGACAGACACATGAATGAATCGGATCATATATTGAAAAGGGGGGAACTTATCATTAGAGGTAAGAGTGGCCATATTACGGTTTCGGGAACCGGAACCGTCGATTCGAACCGGTCCCGAACCTTAACCGGAACCGGTGGGAACCTTAACCGGAGATTTTCGGTTCGGTTCCGGTTCCAGATTTGTGGAACCGCAAACCTGCGGTTCCACAAAACCGGTCGGAACCAGATTGGAAACGCCGGTTAGAACCGCTGTTTCGAACCGGCGGTTCTAGCCGTTAGAAACTGTTAGTTTTGTGTTTTTTTTTTTTAATTTTGTTGTGAAATCTCTTAATTATTTTTTGGATATTTTTAGAAAAATAATTTTTTTGATTTATTATAAATACCTCATTATACCTCATTTCATTTATTCAAAATCATCACAAAAATCTCTATTCTCTTCCTCTTTTACTCTCCTCTACAATAATACTTTACACTTTACTCTATATTATTTCTCTCTACTCTAAACAATCTCTCTTATTAAGTTTATTAATTCTCTCTTTAATTTTTTTATTCAATTTTCCAAATTATATCTTATCACTATAATTTTGCCGGCAAGTGGAGGAATACCAAATTTCGGGTAAAGGCAAAGGGAAGATTGAAGAAACACAATACTCATCCTATCTCTACAAACGACATCCTTTGATTCTCACTCCCACCAATTTTATTTTGAGGGGATATCCAATATGAAAATTGAAGTTCCAACTCAAGAATCATGAATTTAATATGAATGAGGCAATTACCAAGAAGAGAAGAGCAACGAGCACAATATTGTTGGAAGAGCAAGACAAAAGTTTCGACATTATTCGCAATTCATTATCATCGAAAAAATTCCAAAGGTGAGAAAATATAAGCGCATGTACATTGCAATTATTGTGGAAAATCTTATAAAATTTTAAACAAAGCGGCGCGGCTAGGATTCATTTTTGGAAGATTTGGAGAAAACATTCATAAAAACTTAGGAGTTGATCGGTCTCAAACACTAAATTTCTGGGTACGCATTATTCTTCTAACCTTGTCTTTATTTCAGATATCGAAAAATACAAAAAGAAGAATTAGCAAAATTGAATTTCTATGGAACAATTTAGCTTTTAGTTTTTGGTGAAAAAGTAGGTTTTAAAATAATTATTGTCAAATAAGATTTTAAATTCCTTCTACCTAAAAGAGTACCAACTAAAAGAGTACCAAGAAATACTGTAAAACGAACTATTATTTCTTTATATAATAAAGAAAAAAAAGAGTTAGAGCTTTTATTTTCTCAAATGAAATTCGTGTTTCAATTTGTTGTGATATTTGGAGTGATCATTGGCAAATGCATTCTTATATGGGCATTACAGGTCATTGGATTGATGATGATTGGAAAATTCAAAAAAGAATTATTGCATTTCGTGTTTTTGGTGATAACAATACTGCAAATAATATTTATAGAATAATAGTTTCAATTTTAGATGAATATAAGTTGACAAAAAAATATTTTCAATTTCATTTGATAATGCTTCTGTTCAATTTCATTTGATAATGCTTTTGCTAATACTAAATCAATTATTGAACTTTAAAATATTTGTGAACCAAATATTGGTGGAAAATTTTTTCATATAAGATGTCCTTGCCATGTTTTAAATTTATGTTTACAAGATGGTTTAAAAAATTCTTGAATCTTATATTTCTCCAATTAGAAAAGCTATTTCATATTTATGGGATATCCCCAAGTAATGAAAAATTGGGCTAAATTTTGTAAGGAAAATAATAAAAGACCAAAACGTTTATGTCCCAACTCGTTGAAATTCAACCTATGAATTATTAACCGAGTCTTTTTCTTATAAAGAATTATTGTGCATTTTTGTTACTAATAATATTGAAGAAATTAATTTATATCCACAAAATTGGGATATTCCACAAAATTGGAATATTTGTTCTGCAAAATATTTTATATTTTTTTAACATTAATGTTTATCTTAGTTGGGGGTTTTACTATATTATCTCATTTATTTTTATATTCTGTTTGTATATATTTTCAGTGCACTTCGCAAGCAATTGAAATGATTGTATAATTTATTAAGAATTGGTAATTTTTTTTCAATGCAAATAAAAAATGGTATTTTTATTTTAAAAATATACCACTCCTTTTTATAGTTCTATTGTATTTTATTCTAGATGTAAATTGATATTTTATGTGATGAGTTCCTGACCTATTATATATTAATACAGATATTAGGTGCTTGACATCAGAAGAATAATGTAATATAAATGTAGTATGCCATGAAGTTAAACAAAATATACTGCAATTATAAGATGAATTGTTCAATTTTCTCTAGTTCATCTACTTTCTTATCTTCATCTAATATTCAACAATTTCCAACACAAAGGTAAGTGGTGTTTGGTGTTGCTCAAATAAGTTCTTAAATACAAGATACAAAAGACCAAGGGAATCCATGTTCTTTTTCTGAAATTTGATAATTATCTATACCATCTTCTTTTGAGTTTGGTGATTGATTATGCAGATACTGATTTTGCAATTTTTAGAAATTGGTGGATGTCGTCGTTCCATATACTTTCCATTATACTTTTTTGCTTTTAACTTGGCAAAAAACCAAAGTTTTAGTCAAGCGAGGAAACTCCACCTCATTCCACTGTTGCGGTTGAACAAGCTTTAATCAAGGAGGAACACATATTTGATGAAACACGATCTTCGTATTGAACAACCGATTCAATTAGAAGCACAATCATGTCGTGGATGATTGGAGCAAGGTCCGAATTTAGAGTCACAAGAAAATCTAAAAGAAAATGAAGATTTTATATGATTTATATGATTGGGTCCTCAACGGGAACATCAAACTCATCGGTGGCTTGCATATAGCGATATAAGGTAAAAGGGATTTGAAATTGGTATGGAGGTAAGCCTAACGATACTTTACGTGGACTTTGATCTTCTCTAAATTCCTAATAGAACGTAAGGCAACTTAATTTTTTTTTTTTAAAAAAAAATTAAGGTTCAATGCCCCTTTTTTTTAAAAAAAAATTATGTTCAACGACTTTTTTATAAACTAAAAAATAAATTCAGTTGATACGATTTTTAAAAAACAAAATTAAGTTCAATTGCCCCTTTTTTTTTTTTAAATTATGTTCAATTACTTTTTTAAATAAAAAAAAATATAACAGTGAAGATTTTTTAAAAGAAAAATAATTTAAGTTTCAAGCATCTTTCAAAAAATAAATTTTACTATTGAACCATTTTTTTTTAATTTTTTTAGGTGTATTTTATTACAAATACTTTCACGACGAAATTTATTAAATTTTGAGAAAATCGGGCTTTCTTGGCGCAAGACAATCTTAAGAATCTTGAAAATTAATGGCGATTGCACAGGAAATTCCGTCGGGTCTTTGAATACCTGTTCGGTTTTGTGAACAGAATTCCGTATTGGGGGGCCTGGAATCGGAATTAGAACGACCGTGTGGTTTCCAAACTTGGAACCGGAACCGTTAAATTTTCGGTTCGGTTCATGGTTCCCAGCTTTTCTTGGAATCGCGCAACCGGTTTCTTTCTTTTTTTGCCGGTTCCGGATGTTCCTTGTGGCCACTACTTAGAGGTGCCTTTTTGGTTGAATGGCTTTTGGGAGAGTTTTGAAAAACTCCCAGGGTTAAGCGTTGCTCGCTTAACGAATAATTCTTATTCTGATGGGTGACCTCTTTCTTTTCTTTTGGGAAGTTTCCTCTCATGTCACTTTTTTGTGATAGACCATTTTGTAAATACTATGGGGTCTGGCCATATCCAATATTTGGGATAAATTTGCTTGATCCAATCGGACAATCCTCTATTGTGTTGGATTCGGTGCAATGAACTTCTACCTTTCGATCTTGTTCCTACTGCTTTTTGTTCCTCTCGGGTTAGGCGCAGTGGGTGCCCTTCATCCCATAATAATAAGGTTTTTGTGCCCCTGGCGGATTTTTCTTTTGGTGGAATGGCTTGGAGAGTTTGAAAAACTCCAGGGTTAAGCGTGCTCGCTTAACGAAAATTCTAGGATGGGTGACCTCTTGGGAAGTTCCCCATTCACTTGTATAGACAAAACTATGGGGTCTGGCCAATCCAATATGGGATGAAATTTGCTTGATCCAAAGCGGACAATTCCTCTAGTGGTTGGATTCGGGCATGAAACTTCTATCGACTGTCTCTACTGCTAGCCTCTTAGCCATGGGTGCCTCATCCCATATAATAAGTTTTGCCCTGCGGATTAATTTTGCCTGTATGCTTTGTTTCGATATGCCATATAAACTTGACTTCGTTGGATTCAATCGTATGTTGAATCGCGAGTGTGCAATCTTGCCTCCTGGCGTTATTATCGTCGCTACATCTGAGGTTGCTATTGCAAGCGTTATATTTCCTATAGATCTTACATTTGCAAGTAGTGCTCCATATAAAAATGTCTTCCCTGTCCCACCTGTGAAGAAGGCCCCATGGGTGTTGAAGTTCACCCAGTCCAGTATCGCTCTGTATGCATTTAGCTGCTCGTTGTTCACTTTTTAAACTGCATCAATGTCCTCTTGAGGTATTTCAACTGCCATTTCATCTATAATTTCTCTTGAGTTATTGATTGACTGATGTGTTTGATCCTGTGCTATCTCAGGCAAGTCATACTTCTTAATTTCTTTTCCCATACCCTACAAGAGATATTCTATGCTCTTCCATGTGCATGACATCTGTGTATGTATTGAGTTCGGGTGCAATCTACTAAAATAATCCAACATGATATCAAAGTAATCATCCCATAATTTCCTCACATCTGTTGGCTCACAGTGTACTAATATTGTAGTAAAGAGTCTCCTTAATTCTCATGGCATCTGGTATGCTACTGCTTCTCCCATACAATGCGATGCACTTTGATTTGATTCAAACAGTCCTCTTCTGGTTGCTGAGTCCTTGAATGTTTGGCATGGAAAATCATCTACTGTTAATATACTGTCAAATGATTGTGGGCCTTTTACATGGCTCACAAGTAGTCTCAAGTAAGACCTTTCCCTCTCAATTGGATTCGCTGTATTTACCCTCCCTATTACTTGCCTCTTCTTCCACTTAGACCATACTTTACCTTGCTTGTTCCACACATAATGCTCAAAAAATTCCCTGAAAAATAGTTCTCTTGCTTCTGCATTGGTAGAGCATCTTCTAAAATACTCCGTTAGCATCATTCTTGATACATGATCCCTCTTTATATCATGATCAAGCTTCTCATTTTCCAAAACTGATACCATCTATTCATTCAGTAAATGCAGTTGTAGATTGATAACAAGAGGGTTTATTTCATTTAGTTCAAACTCATATATCCTCCACATTGCTTCTTGAGCAGACACTCATCTTACATTTTGAAATTGTCGTATCTCATCTACTTCTTCATCTTCATTGGAGACATATACAATAACCCTGTCGTGCCCTTTGTAGATATATTTGTATAGATATTTGACTCTCTTTAAGCCAAAACAAACCTCGACATTGATATGGCAATTGTATCTTGTTAAAAGATATGGATTATAAGGGACAACTCATCTATTGTAACCTATTCTTTCTTGCTGTGACCTCTACCAATGATATCAAATACAATATTTTGAATTATCTTTATTTTTTATATTAAAAAATTAAGACAAGTAATATGACATACCTCTTATCCATTGTTTGGTCTCTTGAAAATATGGTATCCATCTTTTCCTTGTGTAATTTTCGAAGAATATTGCCTCGGATAACGAAACCTGCATTTATTATGTATCATGCATGGACATTTTGTATTTTGTTCTCCGCATGGCCTATGCATCATATGTTTCGCAACCATTTCATACAGCTCTGGATATTGCTCCTCATCCAATATCTCTACACTTACATGTTTGTCAAAATTGCCTGGACTTGTTAATTTGTATGATGGTTGAAGAATGGTTAGCATATGTGCATATGGCAATCCCCTCTTTTGAAATTCAATTACATGCACGTGTGCTACAACTTTACCTGTGACATCCTACCGAGTCGAGTCTTAGCATAGAGTTGAGTAGTCGAGTTGAGTCGAGTTGAACCAAACCCGGTTGGGGTACATGCACGTGTGCTTCAGGTTTTATTCATTATCTTTACCTGTGACATCCTAATCTGCAGGCCGAACTGTATCTACGAGAGTCGAGGTCTTAGCATAGAGTTGCAGTAGTCGAGTTGAGTCCGAAGTTGGAATCCATACCCGGTGGGGTAGGAATAGATTATAGTGACCTTATTATGAGTGAGAGAAAAAGATCAAGCATAGGTGAGGAATTGATTATGCAATTATAAAGATTGTAGCTTGGGTACTTTAAGTAATCACCACGACGCTGTTTAACAACACTTCCGATGGTTACCATCTTGGCTAAGTTTCCATAAAACAATCCCTTTGTATTATTTTGGATGGGGCCTAAGGGCACCATTCTGTGTTCTCCGTAATACATATTTTTCACTTTCCCATTATATTCATGTTTTATCTTCATTTCTTACATTTTCTCCTTTCCTCTTTCCCACTCTTACTTTCATTTCATGGTAGTTAAAGACCTTGAAACTTACAAATTTTTCTTTCCTATCTAAGATAAAGGTAAACACTTCTTGGAAGGTTTCATAACTGAATCATATTTGTGCTATCTTTTAGAATTATATAGAAATTCTTATTTATTAGGTGAAGGGAGTTTAAGATGTTGTAGAAAAGAAGCTAAAGAGAGCTTCAAGCTTTTGGGTAAAGGTTTGATATCTTTTGTTATTTCCTTTTCCTTTGTATGAGATTTGTGTTGGTGTCGTTGCTATTGAGTACATATTTGCTTCAGTTGTAGTGAGCAGGATCTGGTAACTCGTGGTGGAGAAAACAGGGGAAACACGGGGAGGTATTTCGAATAAATGAAGTGACATACTTGAGTTTTTTGTTTGAAACAGGTTTGCTAGGAATTGTTTTTTTTCCAGCGAACTTCAATTCTTGATTTTGACCCCTGATTTAGTGATTGGAAATTAGGTGAAAGTGTCATAAGATAGAGTTATTTGTTCCTTCTCTATTGTTGTTAGCTTTACATACGGGTTTCTTATGAATTCAATTTTCAAAATTTGGAGTTGTATTATTGAGAGATATACCTAAAGAGGTACAGACATGTGCATGGCGTAGGAAGGCGCGCGCGGCGATTACAGACGGAATTTGCATGATGATATCGGCTTAGTGTTGCCTTCTCTTTCGCAGACTTC